TGCGTTTGGGTCGCAAACATGATGCGTTTGGGTCGCAAACAAGGCTCGTTATAGTATACGATAGACTTTCCTGAACGATGGACCGAACCATCGGTCCCAAAAGGTTTAATCTACTGAAAATCAATTTTTTATCTGCCATTTGGTGATGGTGTCAGCGTTTGTTCGGAATTCGATGTAGTTTTTCTCTCGTCGGTTCATTTCACTGTGCGACCAGAATAAGCAGCTATTTTGGATTTAGAGATAGTCCAATATGCTCAACAATCAACATGGGCGTAAATGAAAAACATAAAACGAAGAAAAGATATTTTTTCTTCTGGATTAAGTCACAATAATTGACTTCATTCCGGTTCACCGTTCTACCGTTTCAATAAGCCACCCGTGTATGTGGGAGCCTTTCTCGTTTTCTTCGGCCAGTATGTTTTTATACCCTCGCTGCATATTGCCCGTTATTATCCACCGTAATCTCGCGTATTTTCCTTCAATCATTCTTATCGGTTTATTGTGTTAGCGTGCGGTGCGAACCTTCAATTCTCAATTACCATAATTTTTCTTTGTCGCGCTTGATGCGCTTTCGTTTTTTTTTCATTCTCTCCGATACAATGGTTTTGCCAAACACGAACAATGCAAAGATTCGAACAAATTGAAAACGCTAACAAACGTGAAACTCTGCAACAGCGAGGCAAAGCAACAAAAAGAATAATTCACAAGCATAAAGGTCGAAGAAGTTCGAAATGAGGAACAGAACAAAAAATATCAGGAGACCGAACACGTTTTTCCTTTCCTTCATTTTTTTTCGGCATAGAAACGGCGATCTTCTTTGTACGTCCGTTCAACGGTTTTTCTGTCGAATTTCTGTGTAAATTTTTTCTTTTCCAAGAGGAATCATGGAAAGAGAGAGAATGGAATTATTGAGTTTTTTCCTTCTATCTATATGGAATCACAGCAAGACCATTAGCTGTGAACGCAAGCATTTTTTTTAATACATAGAAAATGATTTTGATAAAGTTTCTCTTGAGTTCCTGTGAAATAAATTGATTTTCCTTATGTAAATACTCGATAAAAAAAATCGATAAGATGACGGAAAGAGCGCGTCTCACAATTGAATATAATGACTTCTTATGGCCGATTGCATACTCATTTTCTACGACGAGAAGATGTCTGAATGGCTCTTTTATGCAAAGTAATAGTTTGAATGTTCACTGTTCAAACATACAACGATTTTGTCAGCAATCGTAACCCTTTCTTCAACGCATTGTGTTCTCCGTTTCGATGAATGTATAATGTGTGTGTGTATTTCCATCTACAGCACATTCAACACAAGTCACGACAACAGTCATAAGACGAAAATCGCTTTGGTGAGATTTTCATTCGTTTTTTTCTCTCCGTTTTGCTGTGCGTTCCGCTCCGTGTTTCGAGGCGGGAAAATGATTTTTGGGTTTCATTGTCTCGTAACTAGATTGTCGATGACAATACCAGGCGATGCAAAACAAGAAGAAAATCCATTCAACGCGCTCAGCTATTCAGCGAATTGAATGCAAACGTAAAATGTAATGTAATGGAATTTAAAATAGAATGGAGAACAAATTTTCTACTTTGCTGTTTACAATACTTGGCATTCTCAGCGTTCTTATTACTTTTGCAAATGTTTTTGCTTGCCAATCCACTCTCTTCACACAAACACACTATTTGCATGGGTATGGAAGCATGACACGGACGGTGTTGCGCCCCGTCACCGAGAAAAATATGTCGATCATGAGTGAGGTAACGAACCAAATAGACATTAACAAACATACTCTAGGCTATTTAATTGCTAACAAAAAACAGCTTGTTATTGCTGCTGCTACTGCTGCTGCTGCAAGACATGCGAATCGAAATCGAAGTGGCTGTGTGTGTATTGGGTAAATTTGGCGTAATTTCCCATTCATCTCACGCCTAATTTAATCTTCAAATCGTCCATTTCATTTGGATAGATCGAGAGTCGAAGACAATATTCGGCCATTCGATGACTTCATGTGCTGTACACAGTTGCCATCCAAGGACAAGTTGGTACATCATATTCGTCGTTAATCATGTTGAAATTGGCAAATTTTCCAAATGGAATGATAAAATGTGACATCCGATTGGCACAATATCGAACATTTAAATTTAGTGCCAGAACGAAGCGGCAGAGAAGATATAAAATCACATTGTACACAATGTGCTGTGCAATGCACACTTGTACAACTGAATCAACATCGAATTCTAGCGGCAACACAGAAAGACGGAGTGAGAGAAAAGTACTGTACTGTGATTCATCGGAAGCACGTCGAATTCGATATTTCAGACGCTTCACGTCAATAGGCCAGTTAAGATATTAGTGGTGAATACTTTATGGGAAAATCCTTGTCGACACACGGATGAGCAGATAGAAGAAAAATAAAACCGGTTCACTATTCTTTGTTCGTTGCTATGATATCTTCAAAAAGTCAGCCGAACAATGGGAATGACACTTTTACGACTTCAAAAGTGATTTATTTAATCTCATTGTTGATTTTTTTTCTCTCTCCATCTTCTTTGCTCATCTCATTTAGGATTGAGTTGGACATTTCCAGTCTGCAGGCATGTTTGTCAAGGTTCATGTCCAATGTTTGGAACGTTGACTTTGGTTGAATATATTTACAAAAAAAGAGATGGACAAAAAAATAATATCCGAAGTGAAGAGGAAAGGTCAATTTTACCTTTTGCAGGATAAACTAAATTGATTACAATGCTTAAACGGTATACATCAGTTGATTTAACAGGCAGTAAAATGGCCGAGACAACTACATTCAGATGAACTAATTCAGACGGAAAACAAATATGCAATGACCCATTGAGCCGGTGAAGTGGCTTTTAGCTCTCGCATACCCAACAACCGACCTCGAGCAATATAACTCAATCAACGGTCACAAAAATGTCCAGTAAAAGTGTCGTCCAAATGATGTGCACTCTGTGCTCCTCTTCTCTCTCTCTTTCTGTGTCTGTCTCTATCGTTCTCATTTAAAAAAAAAAATCAAGCAAACGAATAGACTCAAGTCTGCCACATTTTTTTTTCTCTCTCGTTGAAATCCGCATGCGAATAATACTAATTCGGTAGTGTCACATAAAACGTCGAGAATTTAAGGGATTCCGCACAAAGAATGTGACATAGAGTAGCTCTTGAAAACATTCGAGTGGTTGGGAATGAATCAAATAGTTGATGGCTCATGTTTTCTACAAACAACGCACACTGTGCATAGACTGACCCTCGTCTCGTTAATAAAGCGACGGGGGAACAGCATGTGCATGTGGGTGTGTGTGTGTGTGTGTGTGAGTGTGAAGCTCGAGAACTGTGTAAAGAATTAGCGGTGATACACATGACGTATTTGTACATTCCACTGAAAATTGGTCGAGTGTCTCTCATTCACATACATGTTAGAAAAGCATAAAGAGATAGTTAGAGAGGGAGAGAGATAGAGAAGAGAGGGACAGAGGGAGAGAAAAAAGCATCGAAACGTGCTCTTACGATTTATTTCCTCATCTTCAGCGAGGTTTAATGAATAATGGATGGGCACATTCTCATTATTGAGTACGGCAGGTGGTTTGGTTGCATTCCTGTTCATTTCACGCTCACTTGACCTACCTGGCAGAATATATACATAATTATAAACACCAATACGAACAAAAAATTTAGCAGTGGTAGAATCACGCAAATATACATACCGACACTACCTTGACGTTTGATATTGTATTGTATAATATCATGTTTGACGAAATTCTTAGTCATAGCAAGCACATGGATGCCAAAACATCCCATTGCATAGAACTTGTGCGGTGGTAATTATAATTCACAGACAATGAACCACTCAACGCAAATAATAGAAACACAAAATAAGCACAAACATGGAAAAAGAGAGAGAGAGAGAGGGTGAGCGACACAGAGAGAAATTGAGTGAATATGAGGATAGAATGACGAATGAAAGAAGGAATTCTTTGAATAGAAACTACTTCATACGCCGAGTAAACTTATTATGCATCGAATATACTGTAGTTATGTACGTAGGGCCGGTTCAAGATAACAAGGACATGTACGTGGAATCAGGCGTAAGCATACAGGAAATAAGCTCACTTGTGCACACACGCACACTCTTGCTGTTTCACCGGTCTTTTTTCTCTATGTCTTGTTGCTCGTCTTCGTCTACAAAGGGTACGAGCACGAGCAAAAGTTCCTTGCTAGCATTGCGATTGAGACGCATACGTGTGTTACATTTTCCGTATGAATGAACTTTTGTCGTTTTATTGCCATTAATGCCGAGTCATTATTCAGTCAGTATCATGAATGCTATACAGTGTACACTGTACATAGAGCAAGAGAGACCAATTTTCTCGACGATTATGGTCGAACTATACGTGTTCATTCATTGAATGAAAGTCTGAAAAAAAGAGGGGGAAAAAGCGTCGAGAATGACACAAGAAATTTATATACAAATAAGCGCGGGTTAGTGTTAATATAGACGTCAACGTGACATCGATTTTTCAATTAAAGTCATATTGTCAAGATAGATTCAAAACGGACACCGTGCCATTAATCAAGAAATTTGCATATCATTTATACAAAACCACGTACTGTACACTAGTAATTAAATGATTTTCGTTCGAATTTATTAGATTAATACTCCTCTGTTGGCCAATCAATTCAAAGTCGTAAGCTAAGTTGATGCATGAGATGCACGAGATAACTTTCGGATTCATTACAAACTACGGCCAATTAGCCGATGAGATTCTGTTTGATAGTGTACATTAATAGAAAAGATTTGTTCCTAACTACATTGACTTTGATTTACCCGATTTGTGTTCAATTGCCTCATTTACATGAGGCATTCCCATTGACTGCGATAGTTATGACTTATCTCTTGATCGGCAAATTATTTCTTTGCTAAAATCTCCACCTGAAAACTGCGCAAAATAGTAGATAGATCTGTGAATTCAAATGAAAGCTGGACTTTTTTTAATTGCAAACATCAATTTATTCGGATTATTTATTGGTTAAGGTAAAGAACAATGCATCAAGTTGTGAATATGATAATAATTTGAAAATTGATTAGATTATGCGGTGCTTGAAAGTAGTTTAAATATGTTTTAGTCGTGAATATCGAGTGGTCATATCGATTATCCATTTTTAATCTTCAATATATTCGAATGGCTCGGGAGCCTCTGGCTCTTTTGCGTCGTCACCCTTTGGGCCACAGGCGGCAATCGGTTCAACGAGCTCTTCAGTATCACCCGATTTGGCGGTGCGTTGAGTAACAATGATGCCACCGATCGTAACCTCTTTCAACGGAACATACGATTGACCGTCAACAATACTGATTACTTTCAATTGTTGACGCATAACACGGGCTGGGTTTTGTAAAATCTCAAAGTTTGGTTCCGGTTCTTTGCGCTCTTTTGGAGCTGATGGTTCCTTGTCTTTGGTTTCATCAGCAGTTGAAGTGCTGGCTGGCGATGCAACCGGTTCCTCTTTAACTTTGACACTCTTCTTCTTTTCGTCTTTTTCACTTGTACCGGCCTTTTCAGTTTTGTCCGATTTCTCGGCATCATCTTTCTTTGAGGTACCCTCACCAGCTTTCGACTCCTTGATCACCTCCTTCACGTCTTCATCGATATCCATTTTCTCTTCGTCACGTTTATCGATTGTTTCACGGCGCTTCTGACGTGCGGCAATCGACAAAACGGCGGTAGCAACTTTTTCACGTTCTTCGGCCTTTTTCTCTTCCATTGGCGCTGGGTATGCGTACAACGATGGTTTGGCAGCCGATTTAAATTCAACCTTCGGCATTTTTAAATCCGAATTCAATGCAATCACACATGTTGGTGTGAATGCAAGTGAAAGGCAATGAGCCAATGGGAACCAATACCAGTATTGTGTGAAAATCAACATTCCAACGACGGCTTGCAAATTCGTGTGTCCAGTACGCGATTGAAGACTGACGGTAACATTACGACCGCCACCATCGATGATACCTTGAGCCAAAATGGCACCGAATTTAGCCATAACATCTTCGTGCTTGTTGGTGATTACTTCGTGATAAAGTGACCGGAAGAATGACGTTTTTGGGCTGGTTTGATCGGTGTGTTGGATCAAAATCATAGCTGATGCGATCTGAAATGAGACAAATTTGTTGCGAAAATTACCATTAGTTTTCATTCATTACTCTATTGACGTAATGCTGTTTGTCAAAAGTAGGAAAGAAACAACACTTACCAATGCTCCTTGGCGAACAAAGTTGACTGGATCAAATTTAACCATTGGTTCAAGCAATGCGATTGCCTCACGTAATCCAGTACCAGCACAGGCAATACCCAAAGCCATGGCCGCACCATAACGAACGTGTGGGTTGTACGATTCAGCAAGCAACGATACCACAGATGGACATTGTTCCGGTGTTCTGAAATTACACAAAATCACGAAAAATATATTAAATTACACAGTGAACAACCACACAAGTACTTTTGATAATAGACACAATAAAATAGACACAGTTTTGGTATGTATATAACGCAGCGTTATTAACGCACAATACACGAAAACCTTAGTCCTACTATACACAAAATATACACAACCTTGAGAGTATGTGTATGTTTTTCAACCCACTGTTGAAAAGATTAAATTCTAGAGAGAAAATGGAGAGAGCAATTAATGCAATGACAACGAATGCTGAAACATAAGATGAAATAATAATTCCGGGGCAAAAGTGGTCTCAAATAGCACAAAATTGCTTAAGTTAGCACAATTTTGTGGCGATTTATTTTTCTTCTGTTTCATTTAGCGGTAGACCTCTTAACGTTTTCTGCCTTTATGCCAAATTCGATACAATTATTATCGTACAAATTAATGCCCGTTCATTTCCATGCACGATGAAAGTCGAGAAACGAAAATGGTTTTAGATTACATGCAGCGTAATGTTCATGAAAAATGCGTCATTTTAACACCAATTCTTATCATAACGTTGATATGCCATGAAACATGCACAAATATAACCACCAAACCAAACCCGAACCGTCGACAATTCGAGCGTAATGAAAGCTCAATGAAAATAACATTACTAATTTATTATTAAATTCCATTGTGCTGTCAATCGATGGATGAGTGAACCGAAAATGAGGTATTTCCATCAACAATGCTCAGATGCTATATTGCCGCCATTGCCGTCGCTATCGTATTGTTTTATTCCCGGCACGTGCAACAACACACAAACTCACACAAAAACCATTTAAATGATAAATATCTATTGTCTCTCGTCTGTCGTCAATGTCGCTTTGTTCCTGTTCGTCACTCTCTTATACTCGCCTCATCAACCGGTCGATGTGTATTGGAATCCATTGTAATTTGGATTATGTTGAAACTGACTAAGACAAGGCTAGATTTTATTGTTGTTGTTCATCGTTTTATGTAGCGATCGATAGCAGGCGTGTTTACAATTGTTTACCGTGGTACATTCAATGAATTTCCCTAAATTTTTACTCATTTATCATTTTCTCCAAATCATTTTTGGGACCGAATTAGTTTTGCTGATTTGGCACTTTTTCCAGTGATGACTAAGCGTTTGTTCGATGCGCTTTCATCAACGAAATGAACTTTGCATGACTCGCATAGTCTACGAAGCCACCGATTTTCCTTCCAATACCTTAAGGAGAACATTCAATTATTATTTTCTGTATTACTTAGAAAATGTTGATGTGTGTGTGTGTGTGTGTGTGAGAGAGAGAGAGAGCCTATGTAAACGGTTTATTGTTTCTTAATGAGGTGGGTGCGTGAAGAACGAGGCACATCGTCGATTCGTTAACAAATGTAAGTGGCTGGTCGTAGTTTAAATGATGCGTATGAATGCACGAAAACGTAAAAGTACATTGTAAAGTGTGTAATTAATTTAGATAACGGCATTAAATTACATCGACGCACTTTGTACTCTTCACTTGGCAACAAGTGAAAGCACACCTGCAAAATTCTTGATATGAAAATGAATCTAACGAAAGCCTCTTACGCGTACCAATGAATCTTCCAATGCTACAAAATTATACGCTAATTAAAATTAACAAATGGCCAATTAAATTACTATGAAAGTTATCGATAATGCGATATCATTTTGAGCAAGAGAATTCCATTGAATTTCTTGAGCCACTTCATGAACTTGTTAATTGAACAAGTATCTCTTTGCTTGATTCAAGTATCTTTTCAATTGAGTAAAAAGGTTGCTTCCAATGGAGAAAGAAAAACAACTTTTTTTTCTTTCGTTCATGGGCCTCATTTGCCAGTTTGACTACGGCTTAAAAACTTCTTCAAATGATGTTTTTGTATCTGAATTGAATACCAAAATGAAATTACTCAAAAAAAAAGTTGTAATGAATGTTAGGATGGAATGTTTTCATGGTTGTATCCTAATTCCTTTTTTTTTTCTTGAATTGCTTGAGTGCGCTCTTTTTTTGTTTGTGTCGAATCTAAATATAGGAATCTTTTTTAATTTATTTGCCGTTTCGAAAAAATGAGCTGCTGCTTCGTTGTGCATTTCATAACTTGAATAGCAGGTTTGCGTTCTCTCTGCCCGTCTGTTTCTGTTTGGCGTCTTCGTGTTGAAAGCTTAATAGAAATTTAAATCGATTTGGCGACGCACCGTATTTGAGTCCTTTTTTTGCACTCTTTCTCGTCGTTTCACTAAGTCGGTGTAAGTTCCTTTTTTTGTATGTACTCATAATGCTGTCATCACCGCCGCCGCTGACGACGACATCACCACCACGGATGGTACGTTTGTTTACCAAATCCTGAATTCATTTCGCACTTTTTTCCGATTGGCTGTTGAACGTTCCCACGTGAATGCCTCACACATATTATGTATCGCTATTCCTTTACACCTGGCTTGACGTGTATCTTTTTTTTCCTTTGCTGCGCCCACCCGCTCCATTGTATAATTTATTATTTTTATATTCAATGCGGTATTTGTTTGCTAGATGGTCTCCAGCAATGGAACGAACCGAATTATTATTGCACCACCATTTTTTTTCTTTCGCCGCACGTGTTTGCCGTGAAAACCACACGAATTCATTCATGTTTTGGAATTGTATTTAATAATGGTTTCATTTTCACGATTGTATTTTGCATTTAACTATTCAGAACACAACAGGGGCACTTGTGTTTAAGTTTCCTTGAGCAATGTTTATTGTTCATTTCTAGTTTATCCTTCAAATCACTGAATTACGCTAATAGAGCCGTTTGAAGTTGCTTGAAAATGGCGCCTAGCACAAAAAATGTTTGCAGCGAAATAAAGAAGCTTTTTAGCTGATGTAATTGACTGAGCCTAAGTTCGTTCTTGGTCTAGTGCCTTGGCGTCTGTAGCATACTTTATATGAAACCACATATGCTTTATTACGGCCTTTTCAGCAGTTTAGCACATTCTAATACATATTATCAAGAGTTAGTGGTCCTCCGAGGTATACCAATGGGGAAAAAAGACTTACAGTAGAGAGATGTATCTCTGTAAAGGGAGAGAGACAGAGGGAATAAAAAAGAGAGCTACAGAGTAGTATATAATTTCGGCAGAGCGGCTTTTCTTCAGCTGACAAACCGGATTTGTGAGATGAAACCAAAAGAGGATACAGACATCTCTCTCGTGTATCATCACAACGGCCCATGTCTTATTTGTTGTTCAGTTAAAGAAAACAGTAGCAGATGAACAAGAAGAATGAGCGAGAGAGAAAAAAAGAGAGCGAAAATCTTATTTGATGTTGAATGAGTTAATACATGGATTCCAATCGGATTGTCGGTTATCAGTCTGTGAATGGTTTTACTTGGAAATATAAATAATGCGACATGGCTTGCTGTCTGTGTGCGAGTTCAGCGACATCAATTGATCGTAAGCCCCAGAAACCGCTTGAATGCTTCGCAATAATTTGTAATAATTCCGAAAAACAAGCGAAACGCAAACACACAATGAACAACATTGTGAATGACAACAAAATACGGTGAATATGATAGCAAATAAGTGAGCTACACTGTGTCTTTTCACTGTCCAATTAATATACGAGACTATTTCGTGTGGCACAAGTGTGAATGGCACTGTCACTTGTGGGTTTTGTTGATACATAATTCATCAATCATTATGAATCCAGCGATAGAACAAAAGGAATCCATATCTAATTGAATGAGATTTTCGAGCTTTGGGTTCACCTCGAAATATAGTTGCAAATAAATTAATTTGCCACTATGGGCGGCAAACGTTCCGTTTCAATATGAAAATGTGTACACACTGGCCGAATTTATTGATTGTGGTCTAGTGATTGATACATCGTTTGGCCTCTCTGGAATCGACTGATGCTACATTGACTGAGGTGGTGTCTGTACATTTTGAAACGCGCTTCGGCGCATCTGGGCCAATGATTCAAAATCAATTTATTTTTCTTCAATATATCAGAGTTTGTGCCAAAAACCAATCGCTGATTATCAACTCAGACTTGGTTGGCGTTGGCACAAGATAACAGCAACAACAACAAAATTCATCGTATTTTTAACACGTTTCCATGATTGCTTTGCACAATTTTTCTATGATCCAGCCAGACAAACATTTGGCTGTACATGACTTGAGACAGAATTTATTTTGCATTCTACTTCATTCAAAACAAATCTTTCGCATTGATTTCTGAGTTATTTTTCCCAACTCATCACCATGAATTGACAAACGAATCGAATTCAAACACGAACATTCAGCGAACATCGAAGCGTCTGCCATCGATGTCACATTTGCATCTTTAAAAAAACAAGCTTTGCATTCGTTCAAGTTCAGAATCCAATTTTAAACTTCCATTGACAAAGGGATTTTAACAGTTTTCATACAGCACACATTGTGTTGCCTTGACCGATTGCTGGCACCTCCACATTTTGCATGTCACTCTCATTCAATATGAATCGATGTGTCATTGTGTCTTTTGTTTTGGCACACTTTTCAATTGCTTTTTACCTCGTGCTGCTATTCATGTGTGTGTGTGTGCCTTGTAAACTGTAAACAAAAGCACCATACCCATTTCGCGATTTCATCCATTGTCAATTGTCTGCGTTATGTGTATGTGCGCGCGTCAACATCGCATGATAAAATTTGAAATGCAAAGCATTCTTGATACCTGTCTGTGCCATTCACTTTTGCTGATTCGAAACCGTATATCCATATAATAAAATCCGTATTGATTTCTATGAAAGCGCATTTTTTGCACATCAGACTAAAGTAATTACTTGAATTGTTTACATATCGAAACAGTGAAAAAAAAACCATTTCACATTCAATTTATATGCAAATTTATTCGGTTATTGTCTATTCATTCATAACTTTTACGATTAATGACCCGAAAATCATCAAATCCATTAAATCCGTAAGAAAAAAGAATCTCGTGAAAAAGTGAACAC